CTTTGTCAACCGCTTTGTCATTGACGTAATTTGTCGCCCTCCCCTTTGGGTGAGTGTTAAAGAAAGCCAGATGGACAGCAAAAGAGCAAGAAGGATCCGATCCAAGAAAGTGAAATGATTAGGAAAAGATATATGGTGTGTATGTGTATATAAATGTACTAAAACATATCTTGTGTGTTATATCAGCTATAAAAGGCATTTGTTTGTCTGTATAATGAGTACGTTTAGTTGTTATTGGTGCTTTATGTAAATATTGCTAATAATACATGTACTTTTACTTCAGCAGGATATTGAATTTATGCATCGTGGTTTATCTTAAGCGAAAGCTCTGATACTTCCTCCAACACCAGAGTTACATCTTGCTTCCTCATATGAACATCCAGAAGCTACATAGACAAAAAAGTTTTCATGTTAAAAAAAACTCCAATCAAATGTGTCACTCAGATTTAAGGGGAGGACAGAAATAGATTGAACTTTTGCTGATGAATGTGAATAGATGTTGAACTGAACTAGAGTTATTCTGCCCAGCAAAGGTCAGACTTTTAAGTAAAGATTACAAGTAAAAGTCCCTTTCGAGTAAATTTAAGGGCAAAAACTAGGGAACTCATTTTGAACTCTCTTTTCTTTTGATTTCCAGGTGTTAACCGTTTGGATTTTTTTTAAGAACACCAATCAAGCGAACATGGATGAACGCCTTTTGCAGGGTTCAAGGATTACTTGTGTAACATTAAGGCTCATTGGTTGTTATTTGTGCAAGTTTTGGGTCCAAACCTTCTAAATACACCTCGTTCAAACACCGTGCTTCACACTAGTTTTGATCGACAGTCGAAGGTGGCCTGTCCATGATGTGAGTGGATATAGAGGTGACCTTTGCACCTTCCATGATGGAATCTGGTCTGTCACCTTCCTCAGACCCTCCTCACCTCAACGCCAGCACCTCCATCAACCTCAGCATCAACGGCTGGAGTGACCTCCTCAATGCTGACTCCCCGAGGAGCAATCACACGCTGACCCTCCACGGCCGCTTCCATAGCGTCCTGCTCGGGGTCTGTCTGGGACTCCTCTCCCTCCTCACGGTCATGATGAACCTGCTCGTCCTCTACGCTGTGAAGAGGGAGAAAAGCCTCCACACCGTCGGGAACCTCTACATCGTCAGCCTGTCCGTGGCCGATCTGATTGTCGGCGCCACGGTCATGCCTCTCAACCTGGTGTATTTGTTGGAGGACGAGTGGAAACTGGGACGGCTCGTCTGCCAATTTTGGCTCATCATGGACTACGTGGCGAGCACGGCCTCCATATTTAGCTTGTTTATCCTGTGTTTGGATCGATACCGCTCCGTCAGACAGCCGCTTAAGTACCTAAAGTATCGGACCCGGGGTAAAGCCAGTGTGATGATTTCTGGAGCCTGGCTGCTGTCAATGATGTGGATTATTCCAATTTTAGGGTGGAGGTCTTTCACTCATGTAGACCTTAAACCCGAGGAGGAAAACAAGTGTGACACTGATTTCCGCTTTGTCACGTGGTTTAAGGTTATTACTGCTGTCTTCAACTTCTATGTACCCTCAATTTTGATGCTGTGGTTCTACACGCACATCTACTTAGCAGTGAGGCAACATCTGAGGGACAGGGAGAGGATCATTCATCCCACAGACTCATTTGGGGAGAATGAGATTGGACCAAATGCCCCAACGGCATTAAAAAATTACTCCAAATCACCTAAGAGGGATTTTGAAGTTCCTATAAAACTTTCTAAAAAAATACGCTTGTTGGACAAGAACACATTAGAGCAGCCATATTCTCTCGAGGATCCCAGTAAATCTAAAACGGCTTCATCCAGATCTCACAGGAAAATTGGTGTCAAGTGCCAGCAGAGTTCATTGCTAGCCTTGACAACAAAACGAATCAGAATTAAAAAGAAGGTCAAAAGTTCATCGTCTCCTGAGGAGAAACAGCCAGACGTTGAGACTCCCCCGAGTCGGTCTACGGTCCCACCGGACGTCATTGGCTCTGAGGGGAATAACGAGAACAAACTTCAAGCATCTTTAAACCAATGTCACGTCACAATGCCAAAGTCGGTGAGCGGCGTCTGTGATGTCAGTCAGGTTTCAGACATGCAGAGGTACACTTCCGTGCTCTACAACAACTGTGAAACCAGCCAGGCTCTGCCCTGGACTGGGGAAGAGGTCGAAGAGGCCAAACTCACCCCAGCTAACCCTGGGGCTCTGAGACAGACGTGGCAAAGGTTTATCGACCAATCGTGTCAGCGCATCCAAAGCCTCAGGATACGTAAAGAGCACAAAGCAGCCAAGCAGCTGGGCTTTATAATCGCCGCTTTCTTGTTGTGCTGGATACCATATTTCATAACTTTCATGGTCACGGCGTTCTGCAGAGAGTGCGTGCACCACGACCTTCACATGTTCACCATATGGTTAGGTTACATGAATTCCACTCTCAACCCTTTCATTTACCCGCTCTGCAACGGAAACTTCAAACGAGTCTTCAAAAATATACTTAACATCCATTTTTGACAGGCAGAGCCTTGAGGAACCAAATCATAGGGTTCTAAATGTTGCGCATGTTCACCGATAAGAAAGGAACACCTGTTGCAGTGATTGTTGGTCTTTAGAGATGGGCGGTTCAATTATAGATAAAACTATGACTGCAATTTGAACATCAGTTAGTTTATTGTTTTTTCTAAAATTCATATTTTTGTAACTTACTGCCCTCCGATTCAAACTCATGGCAGCAGTTGAGGAAAAGGTCTGACTTAAATGTTATTTATTTTGCGTGTGTTAAGTCAGACCAGAGACCTATAAATTCAAAAGAATGTGATCTTTCACCCTCGTTAAGAGGAATATGGCTTTATATTGGCTCTGGTCCAGAGCTGAGGAAAACATTTTTGAATGTATTTTAAAGAAAATCGGATTTTATTTTATTTATTTTTGCATCATCAATGTACATAAAAAGATATGTATCATGATACAATAAATCAAACATTTTACAAACATGCATTTGTTCCTTTGTTTTTCTCATCATTAGACCATTATATTGAACATTAGTTGTCCCTTTAACTTCAGTCCAGGAAAAATAAATTAAAGTGTTGACTGAGCTGTTAAGACAACTTGTTTATTTGATATATATATATATATATATATATATATATATATATATATATATATATATATATTTAGGAGCAGCGTTGACACATACAAGTCATGCGTGAAGTTGCTTCTCAGAGAACTGTGTATCAGCCTCCGAATTATAGTTTAGATGACAAGTTATGCACCAAGGTTGATGGTGTGAATCGTAGTCTCCGAATTTACGACATATACACAAGACCTGCATGAAGGCTTCTCCAATGTCTGCGTTGCTGTTTAGTTGAGATAACACACACCAGTGACTCATCAAGGCTTCTCTGCTGGGAGGTCACACGTTGTATGGCGTTCTACAGTAATATTCCCTCAACCCCTGTGACTAGTAAGACAGAACATTTTTTAAGTTTTCCCAACACACCCACTGTGTAATGAGCCATTGAACACCAATTATTATTTCACAATGCAGTGGAAAACCCATCATTAGTTTGAAGCTCATCTAAGTATATTTGTATTAAACACATATTTAGAAAAGAACATCACAGTTTATCCATCAGGCTCTGAATTTTAAGCATCACTGTACTATTACGCCTGCAAAACAAAGTCAAAGGCTTCCACAATTAACACGCAACCACTGTGGAATCAGTGCTCCGATTTTCCAAAAGTTTGTGATCAGTTGATTTCTGTGTTTCACTGTAAAATACAATGAGTGCAAAACCATCTAGAGACCCGCGTTTCCTGTGTCCAGTGAACACAGACGGGTTCTGAGTCACCGCTTAGCCAAATGAAACAACACGGAGGGGGATGGAACCGAGCTGGAAGAAGTGTGATTGCACTCTGTCATCTCCACAGCATACCTCAGTCCAAAACATGGAGCCAGTGTCGGGTGGTATTCAGTAAAAAAACATGATGTTTCAGATGCAGGCGTGATAAGTCGTCAGTGATGAATAAGGAGATGACAATTGAAAGACACAATCCTGCCGGGGACAGAATATTGCCGATGACTATAGTAGCATTTACATACTAGTATCAACATTATACAAAGGAGAATTTCTAGCACGTGTGTGTTACACTGCAGAAAAGCTGCAAGTCACAATCTCTTCTGCTATGAAATTGAAAACTCTAAAATGCATGGAATAATAAGCAGGGGGAATAAGGGATCAAGCTCTGGTATTATTTTTTCCTCTTTATACCATACAATAGTAACCTCAATTCTCTATCTATCTCTCTCTCCGTCTTCACTTGTCTCTCTAGCCTTTGAGGCCATCGATTGTAATCTAAAATGTCTAAGCAGTTTACTCTCTCATTTCACAACAATAGTCCATAATTCCACATTTTCAATTTATATTCGTTGTTACATTTTTATTTTTTTAAATTCCAATTCAAAAACAATTCATGTTTGAAATAATCGTCACCAAAATGTCAATGGTAATTTAGATTAATGGAGTCTTTTCTCAAAATGGTTGTTATATTATGAAGGAGGACCACAGTGTGGGATGAAGAATGAACAATATCGTCTTGTAACTTGTACGTTTTACACATATTTTATTATGTCTTGCCATGCATTTTGTATACATCATTTTTTTTTATAAAGCTGTTTTTCATAATGTGGAAAAATAATCCCCACTATACAGTACAGTCAAAACGTTTGGACACACCGTCTCATTCAATTGATTAACAAGTGTGTCCAAACTTAATCCAACAATAACAAAAATGTGCAATAAAATATTCTTCAACCAAAAACGACTTCTTAAATGAGCAACAATGAATGCTCATGTATTCATGTATCAACTTCTGTTCAATCAAAGACTGTTTTAAGGACTCATTTTTTTAAGCACTAGTGTAGTTTATAGACGGCCCCTAAGTAATTCCCCGGTGTCCAGGCAACGCTCATTTTCAGGTAACCATTGGGATGAATATGAGCTCGTGACGTTAGCTGCTTTTCCTTTATTGCCGACAATGTGCACTTCTTCCTGTTTGAATACAATAATGTTTCGTTTGTGACGTAACGTTAACCTCACTAAACCGGTTTTTTGGGTGTAACGTTACCGTTTACAAACTGACACGGACGGCGCTACTCACTTCTTGCTAGCCCGAACAACTCTACAAATCTGTTCAATCCGACATGAAAAGAAACGGCACGTACAAGTTTTTGTCAGTTTTGTCATTCTTTGTCGTTTGTTTGTTCTTGCTTTTATTTTGGTTCCTTATATTTTACTCACTGTTCCTTGCACCATAAGAGATTCAGTTCTTTAGCTTCTAAGCTAAAGTGGCTAGCTATTTACCCACAATGCATTGCTGTGTTGACAAATCCCGCAATCACATGACTCACTAGACCAGGAAGTGAGGATTTCTGGTAAGTCCACAAACCCATTTGCATCCATGTGCAAACCTCAGGCTGTTACAGTTTGACGGATCAACGTGTGTTAACGGTGTACCAGCTATAACTTGGGTTGAAATACAGCTACATAGTGATGTTGTGAATAATTTCGTCGGAGAAGCGAGTCGTGTTTGAAAGGGCAGTTAAACTTTCCGAGCTTCTGCTTCCACTGTGTGGTCTGCGTTAAAAGTGTTAAAGCCCTCATCAAGTGAGCAATGATTGTGAACGTACGTCGACTTCTAAATTAACTTCAAAAGTCCTAAAGGAGACCCTTAAAGTATTTCAGGGTTTGAAGTTTTGGTACTAATTCGCAACTAAGAAATATTCCAAATGACATAAAATTAGCAATCCGTGTTTCGTTCATATACACGTTGGAAACAAATGTAATCCAAATGAAAAACAATTTGATGCCCTTACTGTATCCCCATTATTCAATATATATATATAATATATATATATATATATATATATATATATATATATATACACACATTATTCGATTGATTTCTTACTAATTTATTTCGTAACGGTAATAAATGACCACTAGTTACCACAAAGCCTAAATAAATGCACCAGCATATCTACCGTATAAAAATTGCCATGCTAAGGGTTGACTTGTGTTATTATACAGTTTGTCAAATCAAGTCGCTTTAATTTACTTTGCTCCAAATCATAACATTGCTTCAAAATGCTTTGTAATTTGTACAACACACTACACTTTATATCTTAACGTTTTTGTGGAAGGTTATTTTGTTTTGCCAGAGACCGTTTCAGATGTTTAGATATGCATGCTAGTAGGCTCAATTTCCCATAATCATATTTGTTTTGTGGTATACCAATGCATTTATTGGTGAACTGACTCACTGTTTTGTCTCAATAACCTCCAACTTCCAGTTCTTGGCAGCGCATCCCGTAAGTGAATTTGTGATGGCATCTGACAAAAGTGAAGCAGCGTCTTCCCCTCCAGACCTCAAGCTGCAGTTTGCTCCCTTCAGCAGTGCTCTGGAAGCAGGCTTCTGGCATCAGCTCACTCAGAAGAAACTCAATGACTACAGATTGGATGAAAGCGCCAAATCTATTAAAGGATATTACTACAACGGTGAGTGGTGAGATCAGATGGTATCATTATAACAATGACTGTATATATAGTTGATGTTATTGTTTTTTTCTTGTCTTTTGACAATTCTAGGTGTTTTATGATACAAATGTATGCATTCTCCCATACTGGATATGAAAACGGTGAAGGCCAATTTGTTGCGATGTTAAAACACATTTTATTTGATAGGTGACCCACTTGGTTTGCCAACTCGCCTGACGTTGGAGTTCAGTGCATTTGAAGTGTAAGTTTAATGCATTATATTGCCTGTAGAAAACACATCTGCTGTATCTTCTCCTCATGTTATTTAGTTTAAAATAATAATATATATTTATATAATGTTTTTCAACCAACAACAGACAATAAACCTCTCCAATTGATTGAGTAGTCTTTTAGAACAATAAACAATTAAGTTGATTAAAGTTTTTATTTTTATGAAGTACTCTTTGTTGTATTTCATAAAGGTGTATCAGCTAGGTCTGTTTTTATGGGGATCACCTCTCCCTTTCATGTTATTTGAAAGCCTTCAATAAAACAAATTGTTGCACCTTGAAAATAAACAAATCAACAGTCAATAAGTACAATTTTTATATAAAAGTATGATATGTTTTGTTGTCAGCGATGGACCGACACCAGCCCGTTGCTGTCCAGCTACCGGAACACTTTATAACACCAACACTCTTGATGCCTTTAAGACCACCGATAAGAAGGCTCTGCTGGAGAAGGAGGCCAGGGAGGTAAAATAGATACAATAGGAAACACTTCTGTCACACGTATACACACATATTCATGTAAGACGCATGGTTGGGAATTACTTTAATGAAAAAACATGTGCACTTGCGGATTAAGTGATCTAATGAATGGGATTTGTCCTCTCCTGTTGCTTTGTAGATATGGGATGCTATACAGTCTGGAGCTGCATTAAAGGACCCATCCATCCTCTGCAAATTCATTCTGCTGACTTTTGCAGTACGTATAAACAACATATTTGAAATGCGTTAGTGTTTAGTATAGTAAGTAATGATGTCAACGTTTAAGTGTCTTTCGATTTCTCTCCCTTTATTTCTGACATTTTTTTACATCCATTTTCAGGATTTGAAGAAGTACAATTTCTACTACTGGTTCTGCTTCCCTGCACTGTGCTTCCCAGAGGGAATAAAGATTATCCAACCGCCCTCTGCCCTAGAGAAAGTTTTCTCAGCAAAACAGGTTTGCTCCCCTACAATGTCGATGGTCATTACAAATTCTATACATAAAATTTCTGGTGGAAATACTGTTTGCCATTTATGTTTCCTCTGTCCTGCCATCGTTTTAACATTCCTAACCTCATTGATAATGAGATGGATGCAGCTCCCAACCGCAACATTTGAATATGTCCATTTGGTCAAATGCGCGCTACGTTGTAGAATAGTATAATTGAGTGAGGTGAATTCTTGTTTCTACGGTCAAGGGATTCCTGGTGCGAAAAAGCCTCATTAGGAAAGAATCGGAATGATTCCTGAACCGTGTGATGCCAACTGGGAGCGTGTATATGAGGAGACAAACTAAACATTTACGGTGTTCATAAATAAAACAATTCATACAGAAATATTTATCCTTGTAATTAGCATTAGCATTATATTCGTTCGTCCATACCAGATTATACTTACTGTAAATACTTACTGGCCTCTACGTATGTATAAAATAGCACATTACAGGTTATTACAATGTATGTTACGGGTCAGCTAAATGTATGGGTGAATAGATATTATTAATGATTACCCTTTAAAATATCTTTCTCTCACTCTCATATATATATATATATATATATATAATCTCCCTCCCTCCCTCTGTTTGTGAAATATGGTGCAATTCACAGAGCTTTCTATAATCGTTACTGACTCCCAATTATTTCTGTCTTAGATCACAGCCCTGCAGGAGGCCTATGACAACCTGTGTATCAAAAGAGGGACCACTGCTGAGCCTTACTTCATAATGAAGTACACAGCTGACACCGTTGAGATGGCATCGCTTGAGGACTGGGACGCGTTCTTCACTGATACAAAGAAGGTACTAGTCCAGTTTGTTTAAAAAGAAATCAGATCTCTTAATACAATTGATTAAACATGTTTCTGTGAGAGCAGTTTGGTAGAGTCCCATACAATGTATGGAGGTTTTATTTCCTGAGCGCTATTGTAGGATTGTATAGTACAAAAAGTACTGTACTCTACTCCTCCTTACTCATCTCTGTCAGATCATTTTCTATTATCATTATTTTTATGACAGTCACAATCAACACACACACACTCTCTTCTAGGTTACTGTGGGCGTCTATGATCCGTGTACTCTTTCCCAACATCCGGGCTGGCCTCTGAGAAATCTACTGGTCCTTTTAGCCAGCCAATGGTAAGTGTGTGTGTGTGTGTGTGTGCGTGTGCGTGTGCGTGTGCGCGTGTTGCTTGAGTGAGAATTTGCTTGTAAAGAGATGGCTGACTACTGAACTTGGGCCCCACGCCACGCAGCAGAAGACAGGAAATCTCTGCTTACTTAATTTCCTGAATCTGAAGTGTAGGAAGCCGGTCATACGAGAAGGGAAAAACATCTGTCTAGGTGTTGCTTAGCAACAGTGGTGTTGTCAGTGTTTACTCAAGGTTTATAACATGGTCCCTTTTGCCCAAATCGCTTTGCACTACAATGTTTCCCCCACATTGTAGCGGACACTGAGGATTTCCAATAATACTCAAATTATTCAAAATGACGGTGCGTGTGGATCATATCATGCAATTGCTACACTCAAATGGCCGTCAATGGAGTGCCTTGTTAAGCCATTCCTTTCCCATTCATGACACATGCACCACATAGCAGCTGCTGTGTGTACACACCATTGGCCCTCTTGCGTAAACACACAGCTCCTAAAACGTAGTGTACAAAGAATTAAGCTACAATGCTGTATTTGTCGCATACTTTATGTTACCATCGATAATTGATCCAGTAGGAGGGAATTGTATCAAATCTAGTTCATGTCTACAAGTAAAGAGCGGATGAGACACGTGTGTTGTAATTTAAAATAGCTTGTTATACTCACAGTGTTTTACTGTTAAAAACTCAAGTACTGACTCAGGTTGTTGCATAACTGGGGGCGTTATGTGGAAACGTGTGTGCTTTGCAGGGAGATGTATTTACAAATGAAATATTTCAGCACACCAGTTGGTGCCAATTGTTTTTATAAAATTCTCAGTAATAAACCTAAGAATCCATGTCTTGAGTGAATCGAAAGGTTTTCAAGAAAGATTAACAACGTGTCACTTACTCTGCAGACGTCTCAGAAATGTTATACCCATGTCGGCTATAATGTAGCAAACAAGAGTTTACCTTGTGCAATGCATTCAAAGCCCTGTACTGTAGCTATAAGCAGCCAACTTGAAAAGGTTGATGCACTATTAGGACTGCAGAAACAAAACAGTAAGTCTTCCTTAAATCATTTTCTGTTCCTAACAAGGTCAGCCCCTTACTTGGGGATTAAATCGAGGGTTAGGGAATGTTTCCCAGGAACATTAAACGCAAAAATGTTTATTTCAGCTATTGTATCCTATTCTTTTTTTACCATAATCCGAGTATGGCTCATTGATCAAATGAACACTTTGAATCAAATATTTGCCGTTTAGTTACAAATCACTAATATGATCAACTATTAGTGCAGACAACTTCTAAAGCATGCTGGTAGAATTTGTAGTTATTATGAATCTGTTTTCCTACAATCCGGTGACAGCGTTTGTTTTGATCAGTTTTTATTACCACATTATCTCCCAATGTTGTGTTTTCATCTGCTTTACAGAGTGACGGCACTTGAGTAAGTATGCAGACTAAGAACAAGGGAACACAAATGACTTACCGGCTCAACTGAACAAATATTTCTCTCTCTTCTCTACTCGAGCCGCACTTAACTCAAGACTTAAAATTATTTTTGTTTTTTTAAAAGTCAGAGTTGTCGGTTAATAAAGCTGGAGTGGCAGAATATTTTACAACAGAAGAGTGACGTGATGATAACTGATGGGTTACGGATTCTTTTTGAAAATTGATTTTTATCTTTCCTGCATATGATTCTATTACCATATCGACGGTGCTGCCCTTTTCAGCGCTGCAATCGCAGTTCGGCTCTGAAGTGCTGAATTTCAGAAACGCAATCAGTCATTTTCTGTTGTCGTTTTCCCCAAAGACTTGAGTTTTTCCTGGCACTTGTCTTGTATTTCAGAATTGTTACAGAGTTACAATGTAGCCGCAATGTCTCGCTAACTCAGTTGGATCAATAGAGGTCGATTGTGTAATGTGACTGTGGTTATTTGGTTCCATATTAGGGCTTGATCACTTCTGTGTTTGTTGTTTTAGAGAGGGAGACGGCTTATTCCATGTAAAATTATATCCGTCATATCTCAATAGTCACCTATTTTTATTCTTCTATCTCAAGGACACACTTCCAATCTGTACATGCTATGTGCGTGTGTTGATTTGCGTTGTCTCCCTTTGGTTTATGTGTTTGTGCCAGGGGCTCCAAGCTGGACACGGTGGAGGTGCTGTGTTTCAGGGACCGAACGATGCAGGGAAGCCGCTCCATACAGCACAGTGTCGTCCTCCAGATAAAACTACCCAAGCATCCACTCAACTCAGGTAATTTCCGTTCCTTTATGTGTGGTCATGTCCGTCCACATAACGGTGCATGGCATCTACCCGTGTTGGTATGTGTCATGGCTGCGTCTGTATGTTCACATTTTCTTGTTGTTCTCAGTGGTTCTGTGCATATATATTGTAACTGAGCCGTCAATGCTTCCACCGATCATTTCTGCTTCCTTTTCATGCCGAAACTAATCTCCCACAGCTCCTTCATTAGTCCTTCTGTGTGTTGAATACGGGGTGAAAGTCATTTAAATGGTAATAGCAGGATGGTAATGGGGGTGATGGTTTTGATGTCTTTTGTTTACTCAGTAAACCTCTGCATGCACAAACTGACCGAATTCATGCAACTGAAATGGTGTTAGATAATTATGTTTGGTTCTGTATGGAGAAAGTTGGTATTATTTGAAAAGGATAAATAAATCTAGGTCGGCCCAATCGTCACCAGAAATGGGATTTAGTCCTCAATGTCATAATAATTGATAATTCACATATCTCATTCCCGATCCGATATCAAATTGAACCTACACCGTCTTTTGTTTGTGTCGATGCAATTTGCATTGTTTTTTGGCTCTTTAATACCCTGCGACATTTGTTGATCTAGCAGCCAAAGCTGAATAGTGAAGAATAAACGCTGTGAAGCAGTGTCCTAGCAGCATGACTAAAACTGGACAAGAAGCACAGCGGGCGTTTCATGGTGTTCATTTGAGGAAAAAAACAAGACAATATAATACTGGTATAGAGTCCAACTCTCCACCAAAACACCCTTACGAAAAGCTGCTCCTGCCCGTCGCACTGATGTTGGCCACAAAAATCGGTTCATACTGCTACTCCAACCTTTTGCAATCTCATTCCGTTTCAGTATTCATTTAACTGTGTGATTCTATTATTCAGAAGTTGACTAGAATCAGAACAAATTATCACAAATAAGTAGCAAAACTCTTAGCTAATACCTGTGGGGAGATGACGTGCTAGAGAGAGATAACGGTTGGTGGTGTTTTTGTCGTGTTGTGAAACGTAACAGGTTTTTCTAATTGATGCGCTTTTGTTTGACATCCATTCTTACTTGACTTTTTCTCATCAGGAAGGAAATTGCAATAAGAAAAGTTAACAATTTCGTTTGCTTATTATTCAGAATACCTTGGACATTGTCCCTCAAAACATTCATAACTATCACATTTTCAAAATGGGTTTTCAGAACTGAAATCCCATTTTGCCTCCATTGTGTTGGAACAAAGGCAAAACATGTCAAAAGCAAAACTGGAACAAATAAACCCAAATCTTTCTGCAATTTGTGAATATCGACACTTATAATGTGTCATCGGTCTTCTGATAACGTTTCCACACCTCATTTTTGTAATGAGGCATTTCAGGCTTCTTTCACACTGTTGGTGTGTTTCATTCACAGCTTGTCCCAAGAGTGTAGGTTGGGAGAAGAACCCTAAAGGGGCCATGGGACCCAGGATGGTCAACCTCAGTGAATGCATGGACCCTAAAAGGTAATACACACACAGTGCACGGGTCTAACTGGACTGTGTCAGTATGATTAAACTGCAATTGGCGTATTTGGCGCTTTATGTTAAGAGACCAGTTTGGGCTCTTACAAATGTTCTACACCTCCACAGTCAAGACTAATGTCTTCAGCAGTACTGCAGAGATGCATGCTGTGCCATCTGTGGCTTTAAAACAACTTTGTCACCCTAAGTCTGCACCCTGTGAACAAAGAGTGTCTTCAGTCATCTCTCCGATGCCTGTCTGCAGACTTGCAGAGTCTTCCGTGGACCTGAATCTGAAGCTGATGAGGTGGAGGCTGGTTCCTTCCCTGGACCTGGACAAGGTGGTCTCCACTAAGTGTCTTCTACTGGGGGCTGGGACTCTGGGCTGCAATGTAGCCAGGACTCTCATGGTAAGGATTGAATACTTGGACAAAAAGATAGGCATCAGACACCATGTATTTAGTACTTGACCAAACAGAGTTTAGGAGTGCAGTGGGCTCTTTGCTGTTAATCTTTGTTTGATTACCAGATTCCCGTCTTCAATTTACTCTGCCGTTAACTGACTTTTGACGGTATCCGACGTTTGCCTCTGTACTCATCAGAGTATGTTACATATAAAGCATCTTGAATTGTTACAAAAGAAAAGAAAGGGAAAAAAGGATGTTAAGATTGGCTATCTGAAGAAAAATTATTCATGCAATCTAGTATAAACGCTGAGCCGGCTTAATATAAATACAATATATATATATGAAGGCCAGTTTAATTTCCTCCACATTCAGTAATACTGCCAATATCCGTATTATAAGTGGGAGCTCAACACGCTTAAATAACAGATGCAAAAACCTAAAGATAAATCTAAAGAAAACTGTACTTAATTAAATCATCTTTAGGACATCTGAGGAAACGGTTCAACCTGCCACTTTCATTAACTCAACTATCAAATATAAATGTGGTAAGGTGTGTAAAACGTGTTGCTTCCTAAGTGTTGCAGTCACCAATATCTGGTTGTTTTACTGGTTATATTGCTTTCCAGCGACCTTAAATAATCATCCCCAGACTTTGTTTTTGTCATGGCAGGAATATTTGTTTAGCTTCATCCACCGATTTCCTATAAAGTTTATCCAATAACATTTATTGATTGACTGCTGTCGTTCTGTGTTTACTGTAATTCAGTTTCCCCAGCATGGAAAGAACCAGATGCAAAAGGCTAGTTCTCTGAAGGTCATTTGTCAGACACCAACACCTGCTAGAATACAATGCGGTGTCCTTTTTGAACGACTACACTGACGACATTACAGTGCCGTCAAGAGTATTGCTGCCTGCAGTTGCAATGTTCTTCATGAATGCGTGTCTACGCGTCTTCAATGTCGACCTTTTCTTATTCTGATAGATGCTGTGGCTATAGACGTGTGTTAACGTAGGGTGATTTTAAATGAACAGCAGGAATCAGCGGACGATGTACTACCTGCACACTGATGCGTCCATTATTTCTAAATGAGAGGGTGTCATTTAGGAACCGCACAACCTCCCAGTCATTGTCCCTGAAGGTGGTGCTTAAGTGAACGGTCAAGTCAAAGAATTGAGTTTCACAAAATAATGTGATTTTAAAATGACAGAGTATGTTTTGTCTTTTGTCCTCCAGGGATGGGGAGTGAGACACATCACATTCGTAGACAACGCCAAGATCTCGTACTCCAATCCAGTCCGGCAGCCGCTCTACGAGTTTGAAGACTGCCTGGGCGGAGGGAAGTCCAAGGCGAAGGCAGCCGCTGAGCGACTCTCCAAAATCTTTCCCGGTGTGGTGAGTGCGATCATAAAGTCGATGGGCACGAGGCAGAATGTGATCTCTCCTTTCATGTGAAGTCTTCCATCATTTGTTCTCAGGAGGTCTGATATATTGTCACGAGAAATGTTTCCTGTGTTTTTTCTTTTATTCCTTTGTTGATCTTTCACACATGTGCAGCAGATTTCACTGCTGTACAACTTCATTTAAGTTCTAATCTTAATTTTTTTCATGCTCACATACCCGTATAATTGTTTCCCCGTTTGATTGGTCATGTCTGAGATATGAAGGCCAGACCAAGCAGAAAATGAGGTTGTGTTTGCATATTATTGCAGTTTAATTATGTTGTTAATTAAAGAGTGGCTGCTCTGGGGAGGATATTTTGTAGCACTAGCAAATGAAAAAGCTGCCCAACATTCACAGCAGCGCTCTGTTTCAATCCAAAAGCAACTATCTCTTATTAAATGACATGGAGAAATATGGGTCAGATGAATATTTATGATGTGAATCATGTTCACCTTGGTGCTGATGAGTGCACGTTTAGTTACGCAAAAGGATGTAGGCAATGAGTAAGCGGATGCTTCACTTTCATTTTGCCTTCCCTCCCAATGACATGTAATTCTGTGATTACATTCTGTGAGTCTGAAAAGTTCCAATTTCACAACACATTTACTAAATTGTTCCTGTTATTGTTTCAGTTATTTTTGTTGCTGTATCTGGTAGCAGTTATTAGTTCCTAGCTCAGTGACCTTTTTTGGACCCCTTAAATGGAGCAGTTCAACCACAAGTGATATTTTTCTCTCGAATAGGTTCATTTGAAGCATTTTTCTGAAATAAAACGGTATGTCACCTGAGGGGCGACCAAATGATGAGAGAAAGAAGGGGCATGATAAAAGAAAGTCTACGTACTTACACTTCTACTCGAGTACATTATTTTTTCCTAATCTTACTACACTACATTAATTTGTGAGCTGTAGTTACTTTTAGAATTAAGATTACACTTACCAACGTATGTGATCCATTTCTAGAATATTATGGTGCTATGGATTACACTACTTAGGTAAATCATATTGAGTCAACTGTAGCCTTTTACAACATTACACTTTTGCGTTCATGTGAATTATTTCACAAAACATATTTATTAAAGTAGCAATTCTGACGAATGAGACGTAATTATTCCGCTTTCATTAACCGTGTAGATTAACGCCTCTTTTACTGAAGTACATTTTTGAATGTCAACATTTTACTTTCCCCACTGCTGCGATACCAAGAGACGGTTCCCGAATTCATCAGTTGTACAGGTTTTTTGAGAATCTTTTGAAGGAACCCTTTCAAGTCTTAGAAATCTGAGATTTTAATTTTACAGACATTGAGTATTAAATGGACATTGTATTTTTCCTGTTTCGCGCCAGCTGTCCCGCCACCCTCTGCCTGCTGTGATGTCATTTCCCTAAAACTCAGTAAGACCGAAGCCTCATTGTAAAGTTATCAACCCCCTGCAGAGGTTGCCATCACGCTTCAGTAGCAGGTTGTTCCTAAAAGAAGACATTGCACATTGGGCCGGGGTTAGTGTCCCAGACGAAAACACCTGCGATGTCCCATTTCACACACACACACACACACACACACACACACACGTACACAAAAATAATTGCCACGTCATCAACTTTATTTCCCAGTCTCTCTGCCAGCAACTATCGTTTTCTGATAGTCTCTCATTGTTGTGTGAATTAAAAAGGAGGTAAAGAGCAAAGGCTGTTTTCTGTTGTCAGTCTAGACATCTTGTTTGTGCTCCATCTACACCAGCTGCATCCGTAGCTGACCTCCTATGTGTTGGGTTTGTTTTTTTTATCAGTGGGAGTGTGTGCTTCCTTCTTTCTCTTCCTGGCTTGTTTTCCTACAAACACAGAGGCACCAGGTGGCAGCGTGAAAGATGGAAAGAAATACAAACACAGAGAGCACAGAAATGCATTAATTGAACCGAGAGAAGAAGGTTCACCTGAGGTCACAATGTTGAAAAGGTTGGAAGAAGATTTCATATTATGTCTGAGGACAAATACTGTCAACTGACATTTATAGGAAAGTGTGTGGGTTTTGCACTTTTTTTTCCTCTTTAAATTTGGTCAACAGTGAGGTCAAAACTGGTTGAGTTGAAGATATCTACCAATCTTTTTGGATTGTTAAATACTTTTTACCTATTCTGAGAAGGATCTTTTGTCGGAATGATAATTTTCTTATTGGAGACAAATAAGAATAATATTAGCCTCTCTGCAGCCTGAAAGAACCTCCTTAACACTCGGCTGAAATGTAAATACAAAACTCTGTTATCAGCTCCCACTCTCGACACATGAAGGGCGGAAGCAGTCGATCCACTGATTTGGTAAAAGTGGCATTTCTTCTTGTTAAGATCTCACACCTCTTCTTTGCCCTTTCGTGTCCTTCCTTTGATTATAAAATTAGTCTTGACATTTCCATTTGCAACACTGTCAAGCCTGCATCCCTGGAGAAAATCCGTTCTTGAAGTCCATAATGGAATTGGAAATGATTTTTCAGGGTGTGCGTTTCATAGTTCCATACCCTCGACGTGTACAGGAGAGCACAATGCCCACTGGCCTCAGGTCAGCTGTGCCGAAGACATGCTGAAGAAGAGTTTGTCGACTGCCCCTGCAATGCCCTCACTTATCTGTCTAGACGCGGATGTTACTCAACAGAAAGCACAAAAAAACATACTCTGTTTGATTTTAACTATGTTGAGATTGCAGTGAAAATTGAAGGCATTGCATCTCATGCATGGCTGGAAATATTTTCATTTTTTAAACTTGTACCACCTACAGGCGACCGGGTGGCAGTAAAAGTTACTTTTGCAATATACGTAAGAAGTTGGATGTTTAAAAACTGTTGATTTGATTTCTGGCCCAAAAGTTTTTTTTTTCTTTTGACATTTGCTTATTTTTACAAAGTTTTTCAAATGTTTTTTGTTTGCCTTTTTGCACGCCCCCCCCCCCCCCCGCAGAATGCAGAGGGTTTCAATATGAGCATCCCCATGCCCGGCCATCCGGTAAACTTCTCCGAGGCCACTCTGTCGCAGGCCCAGAGGGACGTCGAGCATCTAGAGAAGCTCATTTCTGAACACGATGTGGTCTTCTTACTAATGGACACGAGGGAGAGCCGCTGGCTGCCTACGGTGATCGCTGCCAGCAAGAGGAAGGTACGGAGAACGACTGCGCACCACTAGTCAAAACCACTGAGGCAGAAAGCATTAATTGCAGAGAAATATGTCTGGTATGTTGCACTGAGATTGAACATATTAGAAAAAAAGCACGTTATGATTGCATTGTTTTAATGTTACTACTAAGGCTAATTAACTGGGGGCTATCTACAGGATCCAATCGCCACAGACGTTTCTGTTCTTCTCCTACTTTAAGCTGGAACTTTTGAATTTGGAAAACCTTTCACTTTATCCTTGAGGATAATTAAATTGGCCCCAAAAATATTGGCACTTACTTCGGTATAACACCTGAAATTCTATTAGTCGCCAGGCGACGCTAGATTATTAAATGGTGTGCCATAATTACTGCCTCCAGTGGTCTTCCCCTAGCAGCCCCTATATTGTCGTATGAAGTTGAATGAGTTTTTTGACCACTGATTAGATTTTCTTGGCGCTCTGTGCCGTGGGGCTGTTTCAGACTTCACCCCAAATTGGCTTCACAATTTATTTCCTAATGCTTCTCTGAGTGTCAGAGAAGCATTAGGTGATGCTTTCAAGATTGCAAAAAGCCCTTTTAATGTTTTATGTCATGTGATTCAGCCATTTACAAGCTTTTAGTTTGGGTAAAATGAGGCTTTTGGTTAATTTGAGTTTGTTGAAATGTGCATTTTTGTTATCGTGATTTTTCGCCTTCGTTGTCTTCCGCCCTCCAGCTGGCGGTTAACGCCGCTCTGGGCTTCGACACATTTGTCGTAATGCGCCACGGCCTGAAGAAGCCCCCCGTCAGTCAGAGTGCTTCCGCGGGAGCGGACTCCTCCACTTCCTGCTCCTCCGCCTCCTCCTCGTCCACACCGGCCGGCTCGGCGTCCCCCGTCCCGGGGTCCTCTCTGTTCTCCAACATCCCGGGACACAAACTGGGCTGCTACTTCTGCAACGATGTCGTGGCACCAGGAGATGTGAGGAAAACCCGCCTATATCAAGCATGCCCTCAACTCCTGAAACACAATGTCCAAGAGGGGAAACATTTAAGAATAGACACAAAGGAATTGGGCTCCTTAGGTGTGATTTCTTTAACTAACAGAAGTTTAATATTCCAAATGGACCAAATGACTGGGTGACAGTGTAGCTCATTGTCACAACCTTACAGTGAATTGTTCCCCACTTTTGTGGTTCCCCTTTTATGTTTATGATCATTGCCAACAAATTGTAGCACTTTGAATTACTCTGTTTAATCATGTTGCAAAAAGAGTGAGTTTTGTGACACAGACGTAGTGTGTCTCCCGTGTCCATTCTACGTATCCTTTTGTGATACTTTTTGTTTCTCTTTTGTTGGTCTCTTTTTTTCCCTTCATGACCTTTCGTTCTGATAATTTTGTGAAAGCAATCCAGCAGCTATTGAAGGCCACAGCCTTTTGTTGGGAACTGCTTTTCAGCTCTGACTTCTTCTGAAAATGCCATCGGCTCCATCCTGCTGTCACAGCTTTTAGGGATGTAAACACTTGAATCAGATCAGGAATCAGGAACATTAAGTAAGTATGTCAGACATACAAGGAATTTGACCTGGCGGTTGGTGCATCACATTGGACAGTAAGACAATGAGACAATGGAGAACAAGACAAATGTAGACGAGTGTATGTACATATGATGTCTGAAGGGATGTGCAGGGCAGACCGGGGGAAAAAGGGTTGTCCGAGCCACTTAGTGGGGGACCCGGGCTCTGTTGAGGAGCCCGACTGACGGTGACGGGAAGACACAGAGATAGAAGATGGACCTCAGCCTCCTGCCAGATGACAGGGGCACAAAGTGTTTTTTGTCCGGGTTGAGTGGATTCGGCTACAATCTCTCTCGCTCGCTTCAGGGTCCTCGAATGCAACAAGTCCTGGAGGGACAACAGATTGTCTGCACAGCCGGCAGATGCACAGCTTCCTCACATGCGTTTAGTTTTCTGAATGAATGGACAGACAGTTGTAGATAGAATACAACTACAGTGTCATTGATCAGCTGTTATAACAAACACTTATATGACGTGTCATGTTATTTAGTGCAGAAATTAAAGGTCCTGATCAAGAAAATGGCAACATTTGGAGACACTTAACTAAAAGGACTCCCATACACGTCTTCTATGGTAACCTACGTCCCTTTGGATAAGGGCATCTTCATGCCTGTTTGGACTAAAATGGAACAATGTTCTACTTTCCAAAGCACAATTGATTGGTGTTCACTTCATTGCTGAAACCTACCATGTTCTATACCTTCCTTATTTCAGAAGTGACTCTGATTACTTTCTTTTCGATGTTTAACAGTCAACCAGGGATCGGACTCTGGATCAGCAGTGCACAGTGAGCCGACCAGGCCTGGCCATGATTGCCGGAGCCCTGGCCGTGGAGATGATGGTGTCCATTCTGCAGCACACCGAAGGGTAAGAACGACGTCGAAAAGACAGCGTCAGATGCTCCTGCCTCTGACACGTTGGTATATGGAGTCGACGTTTCTTTAGCACTTCGCCTCAGGCCCAAAAGGTTTCACGCCGTGCCTTCTTCATCTTATTTTTGTTATAACTAAAAAAACGTAACAATCATAGATTGTCCAATGATAGATTATTGCAAAACCCTTTGGAGGTCAAACAATCAACTAAAGGAGATGGTGCTTCTGATGTTTTGGCTCCTTGACTGTCAGGAAGCTTTAGTTGCTTACTTTTGCCTGTGGATGGAGGAGTTGCGATGCTGAGGTCTTACTGCACTGCAGGTAGTGCCTTTTGAGTTGGTTCTCAATGGACCCCAAATTAACTGTACTTCAGCTCAGATGCAATTCCTAATCCACAGTCCCACTTATATTCTTTAAAAGCCACAGGGATTCAGTCAGCTCTAAATAGAAACTGCCCAGCGAGTACAGATTTTAAGTACTTTCTTTGGAGGGGACTGGAGGGGCGGGGGGGGGGGGGGGGGGGGGGGCCACAACAAATGGGGTTTCCTGGTTATTAAACGGGCACAGACTTGTTTTTTCTGTCATGTATTTGTGTGCGTCGTACCATAGTGGCTGCTTGCTGGCTCTGATGAGAAAGCCATTCTCTCTGGGAGTGTTATGAGATGCTATAAGCCGTTGCAGAGATGCTCTGACTTCCTGGATAAAGAGCTTAGGCAGCAAAGAGGAGAAAGAGAGAGTTTTTATGTACACTCTATACCTCTTTGGTTGTGTAACTCCTTCTTTTACAACACCATCTGCCTTCTCTGTGTCCGTGTTCTCTCTCCTTTTTCTAACCTTCCTCGTCGTCCCTTTCAAGGCCCTTATGCCAGTGATCATATGAACCGTTGGCCGTTCCAAGATTGAAAAACATTTCAAACGTGTAGAATGAACTGAGGTCGAGGGCGACCGTGGCTCAGCGGAGAGCAGGGCCGTCCTTCAATCTCTGAGTCGGCGGTCCGACCCCCACCCACCCCGCCTCCACAGGTCTTTTTGTGTCCGTGGTCGAACCGCCTAACCCCAAATTGCTCCCGAAGCTGTGGCCACGGCTTTTTAATGGTGTGAATGTTGGTTGCTAACGTGGAGGTGGCACTGTGCATTGTAGCTCCTGTCATCAGTGTATGATTGGGTGAGTGGGGAACACACAGTGTTCAAGCACTTTAATGAAGTAGTCGGGGGAATAGAAAAGCGCTGTACAAGTACAGTCCATTAGACCATTTGAAGAAAACTAATGGCACAGATTAGTCCGTCCTGTTCGGCTTGAACCTGAAATATCATGTGTGTTGTGGGATGTTTAGGGTGTTGTAAATTAGTCTCAAATCATCTGGTTATTGGGCATAATTCCATCCATCTTCAAAGCCGCTTATCCATAATTGTATGTCACAATTCTAATGCCGCTGTGATGTCCATATCAAAGGTAACACTTTTATTTCTCTTTGTTTTTCCTTTCCTGCCCTCCTCTCCGATCCTCAGGGGCTACGCAGTGGCAAGCAGCAGTGAAGACCGGATGAACGAGCCTCCCACCTCTCTGGGTCTAGTGCCACACCAGGTCAGACATTCAGAGCGCCTCGCATGCAGCAATCTTTTGTTTCACGGAGGACATTCAATGCTGTTTGTCCGTTAACCACCATGAGCCGGCCCCTCCGATGTGTGCCTGTGTTCACATATCCACGCGGAATTATAAGCCAAGAAAGTGTCTCTGAATGCTGCTGGTTTCCTTTTTACAATCAAGACATACAGACAAGAGTGCATCTTGAGAAACCCTCATGGACATCTATGGGGGATCAAAGGTACACATTACGAGCCCATATAGCACTCAACCAGATTTGACTGGACGAGGGCGTAACATTGTAGCCTTGGTTACGGATCCAGCTCCAGCATAATAAGCAAGCTACATCCTCCAAGACGGGTATATGCTGTATGCGTACATCAGGCTTCAGTCAGGCTCTGCAAGAATAAAGGTTGTTTTTCATTTCTTAGTTGTTATGTACACTGAATAAAAAAAAAAGTAATGTTGTGCAACATAACAGGGCTGCAATAGAGGCTCACTTACTAGAACTCTTTGAGACCAGTTGTTAATGTTGCAACTTCAATCTGTGGCACATTTCAACTTGAACTTTTCAGTTCTTTTTGCTTGTCAGTCTGAGCCTTAAAACAAATTATGTGCAAAATCCATTTAATCCCAAATGCCATCCCCCTGGCTATGCCTTTTAGCTGAACAAACACCTCTCTGAGCGTCATACAGATTCACAAAGGGGATATTGAGTGCACAACTTTTGTTTTGTATTTTTGTACGGGGAGGGAAGGGTTGTACTCTTGGTCGCTAGATGCTTTTAAGAGATAAAAGCCACCCACATTCTGTGGAGTTGCTACTGTGTTCCCTCTTTTTTTTATCAACCCTCTCCTGGTTTCAATGTGAGGATTGGAACCAAAGATTTTGCTGCTTTACTAATCTATATGTTGTTTTGACAGAGCAATCATTCCAAACATAAGGGAAGACTGCCAAATCAATACACAATTTCTTAGCTGACAAGGGCAGCTCTATTAAAAATGCCAATGAATATTTTCCCAAGAACATTCTGCAGCTTTCCGAGCTGTGCCCTTTTGCTTACTGACTGTTGTCACATACTCAAGCATCTCACCCCCTCCCATTTGCATCGGCATCAGTATTCATCACCCTGAGAATCTGAATATCTGCCATTAGCTTGACACCTCAGCCGCTCGTGGTATTTCAACCACATTATCCAGAAAAAAAGTGGAATGCAAATAGTTGCTGTGTGTTTCGGTAGAGCGAGAGATGGTGAAGGCGAGGGGATGAGATAATAAGGACCAAAGAGGGCGACGTGCAGGGTGTAAATCATTGCATGGTCATGGGATGCCTGTCCCTCCAGCTATGTCCTGCTAACACCCTGCAGATGCAGTTTAGAGCGGCAGGCTTTGTTTCCCATGGTGCCACAGTGACCGCTTATGGTGCTTTACAGAAACTACATGATGCCTGAAGAATAAAGTCCCCACACAGAACCATTAAAAACCACTCCCTCTATCTTTAGACTATTTATGGAAATGCAAAATTCCTCCCCAGAAAAGCCTTTAGAAAACATAACGTCAAACATCCATCCGAAATCTGTCATTTTCAGAAAAGACCAGCTTTATGTACAGCGGCTACTGTGTCCAACTTACTTGCCCACTTTAACCCATTAGTGTGACTCACTCATGCACTCTGCCATTTATGTGTCAATTCATCCCCTGGACATCTCTGTGCCCTCAGTTCCCCTCTCACTTCCATGTTCTATATCCAATAACCTGTTACTGCAGGTGATATCACAACCCACCCGTGCCTTTCAGTCGTGCATCCTTCGATGTGATATTTGGTTGGAATAATCAGCATATAGATGGGATGGTTTAAAAGACAGGAAGAAGAGCAAAGATAAATGAGCTGAAGCTCATTAAGCCAATTGAAATGTCTTGCAAGATAAAGCAGCGTACCACATTGCAGCGTACCACCGATTATCAGTCACCGATGCAGCGATTCACAACACAGAGCCTGAGCGAACGTACAAAACGGGCATCTGAAATGGGGGTGCGTGAAGATGTCATAGAGTTCAAATATCCAATTTAAACTCTTAACCACTACTTTTCCCACATACCTCAAATATGTTTGAGGATGTAACTCAGTCCCTAAAAGCTGGGATACTTTGACTTTTTGATGTCTCAAATATTTCTTATTAATATGGTTTCACCAACAATGATTATTCTCAGGGAGTCACTTCATGCTGAGGTCCACGTGCGTCATGCGAAAACCCAAATGATGAAGCTTTTATTAAGAAAACGGGAGGGAGCGTATTGGGTATGAGAGAGGAGAGCGTTTACGCTATGACAGGAATGTATGGATTGAAAGTGGTGCTTTCAATCCAGACTTGCCAGACTTTTTAGTGCGTGTGTTCTTTGGACAGTAATCTGAGTAATTTGCCATAATTACTGCAGCCAGGAATAGAAATGAAAGCTTTCAGGCATGAGAGATGTGGTTTCAATATGCTAACTTATGCTTCCTGGTGTCACGTCTCCTCACTTGATCCTGAAATTGATTCACCATCACTCCTTCTAAGAGACAAGGAGAGAGGAAACACCAATGTATTCTTTGTGCAAGTCTTTTGGGCACCTGTTACATAAGAGATGGGACATATATATATATAGAATAGTATTGAACCACAGCAGGATCTTTGCAGATGAACTGTTCATTTTTGTGTTTTTCATTTTTAGCATTAAAGGGGAGCAAACTGTCTGCACTTTACAGATTTCTGTAGCGTCCTTGTGAGGCGATGTTCCATTGATTTCACCTATTCACCATATTTTGTTTTCATATTGATTGAACGCTACATCCAAGTCAACAATCACGTTACAATGCTCAGAAATACAGCTGCTGTCATCAAATGATTTAATCAATAACAAGTTCACTAAAAACGCACGTCACCCGAGCATCCTTCACAAACGACAGATTCCTCTCATCTTGAGTCGCCTACTTGCCTCCTTCCTTTGCATCTGTCGGGACTGAGATGTGAGCAAAAGGAGGGAAGTATATGAAATCCGCTCAATGTGTCACTGAAAAAGGCTGTAGTCTCTCTGACACCAGAGGGCGCTCTTGGCATTATTTTGAAATGTAGAAAAGTAAACAAATCTCAACCTCAGCTAATGTTTCACTACTACTGTACTATTTGTGTTCGTAACAAAGAATATAGTCACCAATGGTAATTTATTCTCTGTCTCTAACAGACTTACATTAGTAGTGCTCCATTTTCTCTTGAGTCGATCTCTTCGTGATTAATGATGATTTATTATTGAATTTGTTATTGTTTTATGAACTATACGAATGTGCCATTCCTGCTGTGCTGTTTTGCTCCTCTGTTTCTGACGTGTTGATTTCTCATCCACAGATCCGGGGCTTTCTCTCGAGGTTCGACAATGTCCTGCCTGCCAGCCTGGCCTTTGACAAGTGCACTGCCTGCTCACCCATTGTAAGTGGCGTGAATTGTAACTGACCTGGTCAAACCATGTGTGCTCCAATCCAGTTTACCAACAAGACCGGGTTAAGACGGTATTAGAAAGATTGGCGCTTGGTCGTAGGCAAGTCCTGATTTGCTCATGGCATTAGATTCCATCGCTATGTAACAACGTTGTTTTGAAGCACAAATTGCTGCCTTAGCAGCGAGAGGGGGTCGGGGGGGGGATTCCCGTCCCTCCCCTCCCCTCCCTTTTCTACACTGCAACTCAGTGGAGCTGTGTTGAAATGTTGCTCCTGGAGGAATACTGAACACACACAAACAGCCACACAGGAGACTGGCTGGTAAAACACATGGTAACAATCAGGCAGCAGTTGCACATTGATGTCAGTGACTGTCGTATGAGTGGAATTATCTCCCACCACTGGGGTGTCTGTGTGTGCGTGTGTGCGTGCGTGCGTGCGCGCGCGTGCGTGGTCATGTCGGGATGGGTTGTTGAGGGTCTGCATTTCCACAAAACCAGCAAAGCGGGGTGGGATGGATTACCTGCGCGTGTTTTTAACGCTTTGTCATTGGCCGGTAGTCAACCCTGTAGTCACCACGTCCAGCCACGTGATTGGTCGGGGTGGACTGTCGTGTAAGACCAGGAGACATGCAAAGGTTAGGGAGGGAGAAGGCTTTTTTAATTTTCTTTTGTGATTACTGGCGTGGGGGGGGGCAATAAAGAGAGGAAGTGCAGTGCTGAAGAAAAGGTGTTGTGATGAGTGAAGGGCTGGTTCTCCCCCCCCTCCCCACCTCTCCCCGCCTCTCCCCTGATCTCAATGCGGTCCTTGTGTCTGTAAAGAGGTCATAAAGCCCCAGATCTATCACTTTCATGTGAAGGCAGAGTGAGAGAGACACCGGGAGAAACCAAGAGGGGGTGGGCGGGGGGGTTGCTTGTTGGCTTTGCATGAGTTCTCCTCCACCGACGCTGCTCCTGAGGAAAAGAAGTTTGGAGTTCCACTCGATCTGAAAGTGTCATGTTTCTGTGACTGATGACATTATTTGGTCTGTTTGGAGGGTTCTCGGGGTTCGATGGGCATCGGGGACAAAGCCGACCCTCTGCTGAGACGGGGGGGGGGTAAAGCTTATGGAGAGAAATTGGTGAATCTGCTTTGATTCCACTAATCCCACCCACACATATTCCTCTCTTTTCTTTAGCAACGGTTTATCTGCCTCTCCTTCTATTTTCATTTCACTCTACTTTGGTTCCTCTCTTTCCTCTTCTCCTCTCCTCTCTGTCTTACCTTTTCTCCCTTCCTGTTTTCCCCTCCCCGTATCTGCCCTCCCTTTGTGTGTCCCTCTGGCCATTTATCAGTCCGTTCACTGTAACATGATTGTGTGTCTGTCTTTGTCTTTTGTGTGTGTGTGTGTGTGTGTTTGTGAGAGCGAGTGCATGTCTGTCTGTGTGTGTATTCCTGCCGCAGTCAGCTGTGTGCTGCCAGGTCACTATGGAAACAAAACAATTCAGCCCCTGTCTGGGCTGGAGCAGTTCCTGTAGAGTTGGGGCTTTGTGTGTGTGTGTGTGTGTGTGTGTGTGTGTGTGTGTGTGTGTGTGTGTGTGTGTGTGTGTGTGTGTGCGTGTGCGTGTGCGTGTGTGTTTTTGCAAACTCTTTCCGGGGCTGCAAGCCAACAAAACTACACACCATAGAGTAAATCTCTAGTGGGTAAGAGACCTTTAACTACACTGACTTTTGCTAACACAACCAAATGTACCATATGTTTTCATTATTAATGGAAAAATATTTTTAGATATGTATTGCAAGACAACGCAGCTCAGGGTTTTTTGTGTTTCCTCCTTCTGAATCACTTCACAAATCGTCATTATGTCACAGAGAAAATTAAAACTTCAAATATAATTGGGTTGAATTTTGTATCCGAAACCTATTTATATATCTATTTATATTCGTATTCTCGCAAACCAATCGCTTCCACACCAAGAGTCATAACTTATTTTAGAATGAATAACCTCATGTTTTATGTCACTGTCAAGTGCTGTTTTTCGTAGACTCGCAGCCGTCACACGGCTTTAACGACGCACGCTTTTATGGGATGTGCTTCCTGTCTACAGTGCTAAATCTTTAAAATCCCATGAGGCCTGAGAGGTGACTCAATGAGTCACCATGGAGTTGGTGCGTTTTCAAGGCGAGAGTCTAACCTGCCGTGTTGACTTTACAAGGAAACGGGAGGAAGTCTAAACCCTTGAATCACCAGGAACCGTTTACTCAGTAGGTGTCACGTCAATGGCCGACGCGCCAGCCAAGAACGCCCGAGTGCTTCATTGATTATTTATCAGTCATTGATTTAACATGACGACAGTCGACTTTGTTCTTCGAGTTTACAACATTAATTACCTCCCAGTGTAAGTTTGATATGTTTAAGGATGTAAAATACAGCCAGAGGGTGGAGGTTTCTGTGGCTCCGTAAGGAGGCTGCACACACCATCTGATCCAGATGTTGATGCTTCTGTGGTGCCGACCATCGACAGCGCGCATCACGATGAAAACCATCGGCACCGATTAACCGCGGCGTAACCTCGTAAATGCTCCATGTCTCTTCCGTTCTCCGTGTTTACACACGAGTTCATGTTTTTATTGCATTTTCCCCACAATGATTTCGGCCAATGTTGTTAAGCGCTTTCGATCCACCGTCAAGTTTTTCGAACCCTTGGAACGAAAATTGTTTTACAAATGATTTCCGTTCTTTCATCCAGTTGCAACTGCACACAAAAATGTGTGTCAAGCCTCACTTTTTGTAAATTAGAGAATCTCTAAGTACATTAGCGTTTGATACGAGTACAATTAACTCATTTTTTTTTAATTAAAAATATTAAAAAACCTCTTTAGTAATCTGTAATCCAGAAACAACCGTTGTTCATTTTGTTTCGTCTCAATCTTGTCCATCACTGGTACGGACAGGAGTGAAGAACATCAGCGCGTGTGTTGTTGTGTGTAACTTTGTAAACGTCATTGCGATATCATCACAGTTATCGAGTTGCTGTCTGTTGCGAGCATCTATATTTCAACAAAGTGCGTTTCGGCCGCTCGGGTCTCGCGTAACGGATCCCGCGGATGCGAGCGGAGAATCAAAGAAGTAAAACAGAGGGAAGGAAAGAAAGAAAAGAGTGGTTGAAAAGGTGAAGGAGGAACACGTCAGTGTGCATTGTGTGTGCGGTGTGTCTGGCTCCACGGCTAGACGCCAGGTCGGCCTGCGCGCGCACGCACACACACACACACACACACACACACACACTCGTGCTCAGACGTGGATGCCTGAGGCAGAGGTAACCCTACACCTGCAGAGGAGGGTCCGTGGGCGTCCGTGAAAGGCTCAGCCGAGCTTAGGAAGGTAGTCGGGAGGACAGGCGATGTGTGTGCTTTGGAGAGAAGTTGTGGGTATTTTAAGTCAGTGCTGGTGTAGGTGATCAAGGTAAACACCGAGCTGCGGTGTTTCACCGGTTGTTTTTATGGACCAGAGCAACAAGAGTGCATTTCAATATTTCCAACCATTCAAATATTATTTGTATCTGCTATTTAGAGAACATTTCTGTTTGCCATCTCCTGGCGTTTTGGGATTTAAGTCAACAAGTCGTGATGCATTAGGTAGACTCAGCCCTCCGCTCAAAGTGGACACATCACACTCCAAAAGGACTTTCACCGAGCAATAGACTCTTAGTATTGTTCTTGAGAGGCTGGTAAGGGTGAAGAAGTGCAAACCTGAATCAAACCTTTCAGCGAAATTACTTCCACATCTTTTAACCATCGTAAGGTCTAGAACCTGCTGTCGTTTAATAGATAGGTGTATTAGTAACACACACACACACACACACACATATATATATATATATATATATATATATATATATATATATATATTACACCGCACAACTACTTATTTTTCTCCCTTTCTTTCTTATAGAAAAATTGATGTTTACGCTGGTCACGCTGTGTTGTCCCTCCAATTATCTGAATGAAAATTGGAAAGAAGCCAGAATATGATTCTCAATGTGCACATGGACCAATGTAGTGACATCATTTCCTGTAGTGGAAATGTGTCAGTTGGGTTAATGATAAAACCCTTCTATCAATTGACATTACATTACGTTTAAATGACAAATAAATTGTCTTTGTTTAAGTTTTTTCTCTTTTTTATTTTTTTGCAGGTCCTGGAGAACTACGAGAGGGACGGTTTCAACTTCCTCTCCCAGGTTTTTAATTCTTCCCACTCGTTCCTGGAGGACCTGACTGGGCTGACCCTGTTGCACCAAGAGACACAGGCTGCAGAGGTAAATCACGGCCGTGCATAAACAGCATTTGAGCAACTAAAGTGATGAGTGTTAGTCGAGTACGTCTCTAAAGCTAAGTTTTCATTTCTACGGGTTGCATATCTGCATTTTGCAGATGATTTGAGGATGACTTCAAACCACAGTTGCATTAAAACAAATGTTTAGAGATGATGTTGGAAATCAGTTACTTTGGGAAGCAACTTGATCCCAGATCACAAGTGAAGGGACGACGAAGACGGACCAGGGAATTGGTGCAACATCTGCATCATCAGTTAATGTGTGCCTCAATGTCCCGCCGTCCCTCGGGAGAAGTCAAATCGTCATGCCTGGGGAGAAGGACTCCTGGGTGTTCTTGCTCGAGTCTTCAGAGACATTTTCACGAGTTTCTTAGATTGAATGTTTTAAAGGAGCTACTCTGTTTTCACTGGAAGGCAGAGAAGATCGTTCCCTGATTATTCTGTTGCTGTAGCAGCACGCGGTTGATGTCTACGGAACAACGAGGAGGAAAACGGTGGACTGCGGGTGGTTTTCCTCAAGCTCCCCCCCCCCCTCCGCCTTCCCTCTCACATGAGACAGAAGGAGCAGGGGGGGTTGGGTCTGGTCGTGCCGAGCGGTGGGAAAATCCCACGTACTTTCTCAACTACTCCTACTCATAACACACAGACGGATGAGGGTGGAAGAGAAAAGCAAGGCCGCACAACGTAGATAAGAGAAAACAGTGACGGGGGGAAAAAAGACGAGGAGAAACAAAATGGGACAGGGGGTCGAAGAGGAAAAAAAGATGTATATTTAAAAAAATGCAAGTTTCCCTGTCACTCCCTGTATCAATCTTCCCCTCACCGCCCATCATTCTCTTCGGATTGTTCCTGCCTTCTCTATTCGAGCCGCCCTCTCCCTTGATGGAGTGTGTTGAAGTCGCTGGCACCAGTTCGCTGCTCCTCAATCACGAGATAGAGAGATTGTTTTGATTGCTTAGCCCACTAGCGCCGAGAGTCTCAGCGCCTGTTTCCTGTACAAAGATTAGCTATTCCAAAAACTACTGCACTTGGAGGACGTCCCTTCGAGTTTTTTTTTTTTTTCCTCTTCCAGGAAAGCACAGAGGTTCTTCTCCAAAATTCTCATTTCATGCGGGAACCGATTAGAAACAGGCCTGCGGCTCGGTTCGGATCTTGTCCCATATTTGAAGAAGTACCGGCCCAAAATAATGATAATTCTGAATGTAAAAATTAGGGGTTTAAAAGGTCCTTGTGGGCTTTTTATGTTCGGCAATTGTATACAGCTATGAGTCATCATAGTTGGATGACGATCATCGCTTCCAGTGGCTTAAACCACTGACTTGTTGCTTTCAGAAGGTTTCTCCTGTGTCCTTTGTTGAGAAGAATTAGTTACACTTGGTGCAAGTGATTTCAGTGGACTTAAATTACTTTAATTTTATATTATGTTGTTATTTTTATAAAGCCTTTCCCCAAAGCATGGTGCTGAGGTCATTACAGATTGTGTGTGTTATTCCGTGTTCGAGTGTGTGTTACCACTCTAAACTATAATCTACGTCACCAGAACTAGTACTATGTACTTATGGCCTATTTTGGGTGAGTTTGTAACCCGAGAACTACTTCTTATGCAGTCACCACAGGGTTTTTGGGGGAGTTCAAGTTCGGTAGGAAGCTTTTGTGTGTGTGTTTGTGTGTGTGTGCGCCTACACAAATGGGTGTGAATGGCTCCTTTGTGTCAGTCTGATTGGGAGGGGGAAAAAAATACTATGAATCTGGCATGTGGCAAATGGGTTACAGGTATTTTAAAAGTTAAGTACGCAACGTGTATTTTAAGTTTCGTGGGCGGTGAGGAAGCACAAACACGACGAACCATTGCTAAATAATCATACCTTGAACTGAACTGTATTTTTCACTACTTTTTCGGAGCGAAGCCAGTTTCCTGACTTGAGGGGAGTACACTTCAGACAAAGTGCTTGGCAGACCGTCTGAAGGGGGAGATGCACCAAATCTGTTGATGTATGCGAGGTCAACGGATCCCATTAGTTTTGTTTTTTTATGGAGAACATGAAGAGATCCAGCTGTGTGTGACACGGTTATGCGGCTCGGCGCGTTGCCCGACCATTTGCAGATCGGATTCGATCAAACCAAGGCAGCGCTGATCAAATACAAATCAATATTCTTTTAATGCATCGCTTTTTTCAGGATAGCAATATACAATATTGTTAATATAGTTTACTGAGGGCTCCGGCGTGCCACGTGTCTCGGTTGTTACGCAGTCTTTTCTCTACTTTTTGACGAGTCATTCGGTAAGTTAAGCATTATTCCAAAAAAACAAAACCTCAGGGTGGATGCGTGTTAGCGTGTCAGAACAGGGTGTTGTGTTGGCTGATTAGCCACCCTGAATGTAAGCTCACTGCAGAGGGCCTGGTCTCACACATCAACACACTCAAAGAGCCCGAGAGGAAATTACACTCCGTCCAGGATGTTGATCTTCTCCTCTGACGCAGCCAACCCCGCTATCTTCGACCTGGCAGATGAAATTGTATCAAATACTGTATAAATTCATCGCTGCTGGCATGTAAAGACATCATGCTGTTCATTATTGTGTAAGTGGAGAGAGGACATGTGGATTTCCTCCTGACAACGTCTGAGTATTTTTAAAGCATTTTTATATTGTGAGCTCAATAAAAAAAACAATGTAGTGTAATGTTACACGGAAATGATAGTAAGTTTACTAAGAACTACTATTTAGTGCCTCTTCAATTTATCACATAGCTTATTTTAAGGAGAAACAAAACCGAAGATATTTCTGTCTTCAGAAAACCACTTACTACTGGGAAGGGATGATTCTTTTAATAATAGAGTACTAATTATATTATTACAGCTTAATTTTAAATGCAAGCGGTCTCCAGGTGCTTCATATGCATTGAAGACATGCACAGTACAAAGTTAAAACTATATTAAGCAAAATATAAATTAAAGAAGGGGGTGAAATCGGATAAATGCATGTTAAATAGATCCTCGTATACCAAGTTCCACCCTGCGTGTAGCATCATGTGATACCGCAGGAAGCCCCCGATCAAAGGTCATTCCTCACACGCCGTCTTCCCATCTTCATTTTCAGTAAGCGATCCATGTTCTCGCGTGCATGCGTGGGTTTTCCGCACACGCGTGTCCGCCTGAATGTGAATGGCCCCCGTTCAGAGAATGTGTGACCCTCTCGGCACAAAGGGCCTTTCTGCACGGCCCTTGTTCCACTGCCTTCCACCTACTTCTACTGTGCGCTGCCAGTAAGTCACAAGATGAAGACGCTTGCGTTGAACTTCGAGAACAATGCGTTGCTTGTCACACTTTTTTTTCTTTTCTTTTTTTTGATCTTGTGACATGAGTTTATTTCTCTATTCAGACGAAATGACAGCTACTCTACGGCAAAGTGATTCACATAAAATGATTAGTGTACAACTGTACAATGCGTGTCAAACTCTACACTATATTATGTAATGACCAGAGCCCCTTGCGAAGTATACGCAGGTCTTGTCCTGTAGGATTCAGTGCAGAACCGGGTCACACCCCAGGGAGCGTGTATTATGGGGGTGTAACCTGTCTTTGTTCGACATCGTCGTCTCAATGTTGCGTTTTGAAATGAAATCATTGCAGAATGACCTCAATCCCTGCTTAATAATATGAGACCCTCCTGGAAGTTTCCAGGTCCGGGACTCCTTGGGGTCTGGGCCCCCCAATTTTGTTTTGTAGATGATACTCAAGATAATCAAGGGCAACATTTAATGAGATCAGCGACTTGCTCAGGACCAGTTCAATGGGAGACATTTAGAGGTTGGAGTATCGTGTGCATGGTGAGATAGTTTCAGGGCAATCTCTCCCCGGCAATTACAAGCTTAATCACTTTGTTTCACAAGCCACTCGACTTCCAGGCAACGTTTAAAAAAGAATCTGCGTCTTTTAATGAAAAGACAATGCAGTATAATATAGACATTTCTGTTATTCCAGATCTGTTTTATAGCAGTTCGTGCGCCATCAGATGCCACTAATCATCACCTTGAGTCATGCTAATGGACCGAAAGAGCAGAGGTTACCCAACCACCCACGTGCCCGTCCACGTACAACAGTGTGCTGGTGATGAACTCGATGTAGTTATGTTGGCTCGTCACCCAGCCGCTTGGGAAAAGCACAAGTGGAAGCATGTATGTGTGTGTGTGTGCGCGCGCACACACACATACATGCGTACACACACACACAGTCTTTCCCTCTCCTTCTCACCCCCACATAAACACACACTCGAGCGTCAGAGGGCCCCATGGATGTCAGAGCTTTATCCAAACACAGCTACGGTTGCTACAGGCCGCAATTATTACCAGATGGACTCGGGGAAAAATATTAAGTCGGCTTTTTCATTCGAACAATGCGTAACCTCCTGGGGGGAGCGGGTCACATTTTAAAAAAATTCCAATTTTCTTTTTGCTATGTTGAGAAAATTGCCAGTTTTTAGAATCTGTTTAAATCAGAGTCCAACATTCTTACGCTCAAGAGAGTTTATATATGTTATATTAAAGGATGACGGAATGTGGTCCGGCTTTCCCAGCCTGTCAAAAGTGCTTCTTTACCAACTTTACATTTTGTCACTAAAACCAGCAGCAGTGTGTGTTAAAACAAGAGTTAGCTGGCAAAAGTAGTATAGCATTTAGTTGTGTTTTGATGCGTTAGAGCTTGTATAAGTAAAAATGAGTACTCAGCGAATGTAAATTACAACATTATAAAATCTTCAAGGAATTTGAGGCGGATCATTCACATAAAACAGTTTGCAAACAATGACAAAGGGGTGTATGTTGTATAGGATTTATTCTTTTGTTTAGTCTTTTACTTTGGTATCGAATGGGCTTCAATAATTGTGGGGTTTCACTTGTATTTGTATCAACCACTAGATTTGTGTTGTCTTGTCATTCCTACTAATGACAAACGTAAAGTACACACACATGAAAACTAAGCACG